CGCAGCTGCAACTCGGACCGTTGAGAGCTTAACAACAACCTCGTGAAAGCGCTTTTGCTCGGAAACGCTGCCGCGCGACAGCCAGCGCCCGCGGCTGGCGGCGGCAACCCGCACGCCCACCAAGAGCGTCTGGACCGCACGGGCGGGTATTTAAACGAAGCCAAAAACATCATTGGCGAGACGCAAGCGGTCGGGATCAACATCGACAACAACCTCATGATGCAGCGCGAGCAGCTCGAGCGGGCGCAAGAGAACGTCAAGGAGACTCGCGCCGATGCGCAAGAGGCCGGTGTGCATCTCGCAAGCCTTCGCCGAAAGAATATGGTGAGCATCGGGCTCATGTGGGTCGTCATCTTTGGTCTCTCGGTGGCCATCCTCGTCCGCGTCCTTCAGATGGTTCAAGTCAACTAAGTGTGGATATACTACACACTACTACACCACTTCACTCTACTACCATCAGCACAATGAATACAGACAATCTTGCCATCGACTCTGTAACTGGACGAAGCACTCGCCGCGCGGAACCAGAGTCGCAGTCTGGCGTCTGGAAGAGAGATGGTGAAATCTGGTCGTTCATGTCGGTGGGAAATTTGGGTCATCCACGGCTCGCAGAGCGAAGGAGGTGGCTGGACACACAATCTGGCTCATTGATAGGATGCTATCTGACGAGGATGGGGGCATGAGGCTCTTAGATCCATCCAGCTCTCAACTAGCGTGCATCACGAACCACCAAGTGATGTCCAGGACTACTGGATCCTACTCTGTTGACTTAAACGTACGCAGCTCCTATGTCTGTGCTCTCGAGGACATCGGAGGGTGGATGGACTCGAATGTCATCAACGGTGAACGGAATGTCAAACGCACTGCCGCCGCCAAGTGCGATCGAGAGGTTGCCGTGGTGGAGCGAAAAGGCGAGCTGGTCGCTGAGGTAGAGCACGATGAGGTCTTCGCAGACCTCAAACGACGTAACGAGGATCGGGAACGAGACGTTGTTGACGCCCTGGGCCGGCCACGCGACCGCTGTGTTGTCGATCGCGGTGGCGAGATCTTTCCACGGCAGCTTTGGCGCCGACGTGTTGTGGTACAAAATGTCAAACTGCAAGTGCACCAGATCGAGCTCGATCGGGAGTGGGTTGTGGATCTGGAGGTCGACATCGAGGCGGAGCTCGCACGTGTGCGTCTCCGAGTCGAGTTTCTTGAGCGTCGGGTTGAGCTCGTACTTGCGTAAAAAAGCGGGCTGGCCGTCAATCGTGCCAGGAATCTCGATCGGAAACGACATGCGGTTGAAGAGCTGCTGCGCGAGGCAGTGCGACTGCGGGTGGCCGCCGACAATGGCCAGCGAGACGTTCGACCCACCGAGGTATGACTGCAGCACGGCCTCGAGCGGCGCCGTGTCGGTGTGCCCGAGGTACGTGTACGTTGCAATGTGTGTCGTGCCACCACCCAGCGTGAACCCATAGAACCCGACGCGCAGCAAGGTTTCGTTCGTGCTGGGATGCGTGAGCTCAAAGCTGAGGTCGGGCACCGTCCACTGCACCTGCGACGCGTACTCGAACGTGACGTCGGAGAAGACGTAGATGCCATGGTCGTCTTCGTCGATGTGGCCGCGCGAGAGTCCGATCGTGTGAAGGATCGCATGCACCATTTGGTCAATGTGCTTGGCGATATCAAACTCATTGGATGCGGATCGTCGTCGTTGCCGCCGAGGAAAGGCCCACATGCCAGACCGATGGACCGACGCCGACGACGGCAAGAGGTCGTGGACATCCACGTGGACGGTAAAGGGCACGAGGAGGCACGAAATGTGGATCGGGATCGACCCCGACACGGTCAGCGCCGGCGTCGGCGACTGAAACAGAAAGCGCTGGAGATCCGCCGGCGACGCTTGGACCGAGAAGAAGATGTGCGACTGCACGGACGAGGCGCCATGTGCAAGCGAGAACGCTGGCAACGACACGACCAGAAGAGATGTCCCGTTCGCCGAGAGGTGCACGTCGAACGGCCC